GAAAATCCATGGACAGGAGAAGCTGGGTGGAGTCACTTCCACAGTCAATGCTGGCCAGAGTTAGATTCTGGGCAGCAGCCAGCCATGCAGATGGCAGTAAACATCGCCAATTAACTCCTGTTGCTTAGTCTTCGATCCCTGTTAAGACTAAGTCCCCTGCCAGGCCAGATTAGGCTTCCAAGCACCTTTGGCTGAGCTCATCCCTCGGTTTATGTTGTGAGATCTGGGGAATGGCACCAGGTTAGCCATGAGGTCGACACACTTGCTGCACCACTGATCTCATTTCTCATTGCCTGCTGATGGTGCTTCCTTCTGGGGTGAGTAATTATTGACCACCTAAAAAAGGGATGTTAAATTCACATGGTGAGATGCAAAACAGGCTTATTTTATATTGTCATCCTTTAAGAAAGTTGCAAAAATAAGCACGCTTTTTGAGTTTGAAAAGACACCTACATTTATATAGGTTAGATAATTGAACGTCAGCAATCAGGTGAGTAGACAGGGGGTAATTAACATAAAGCATTATTACAACGCATCTGAAAAAAAGCTATTCACTACTGTTTACTGTTGGTTAAATTGTACTTACTGATTTCTGTTCACTCTGGAGAAGTTAAAGGACCCTGACTTCCCATTTTTGCTGTTTTTGCCTTCCAGTATGTTTTCTTGATGTTTCTGAGGTTTTTTGGTGCCTGCCTACATTTATGTTTTTTTATTAAACTATGTTTTGTCCTATGTTTATAGAACATTTATTTATTCTAGAAAGTGATAAATTGTTGAAATGAATTAACACAATATTATTTATATTTTTTAAAAATTGCGGGCAGAACAGTGGTGTTAAGTGGTGTTGCTTCTTTGTAGTGCTGGGGCCCCGGGGTGCTGTTTGTGTAGAGTTTGTAGTTTTTTCTCTATGTTTGCATGGTTTCTTCCAGGACATCCAGTTTCTTCCTAGAGTTCGAAGACACTCTGGAAGGTTTATTGGATTCTGTAAAGCTGGCCCTGGTGTACAGTGTGTGTGTTTGTGTCTGTATGTGCTCTGCCACGGACTGACATCCTGTCCTTGCTCCCAGAGCATCCTGGGATAGGCTCCATACCACCATGACACTGAACTGGATAGGCAGTTATTGAAACTTGTGGTGGTTGTGGTGTTTCTGGAGCATTGCCCAGCGCTCCTACAGGAACAGATGTGACAACTGATGAAAGAGAATAAGAGCCTAAAACAGTTGCTAGAAACAGAAGGGTATACAGTAAACCCTCATTATAACAGGGGGGAAAAGGTGTTCGATAAAAGCAGAATTCTGGAGTATGTGTAGCCTATTGCATGAAAATCGTATGTTTCAGTGTTAATATTGAACGCAGCACATTCAATAATTTAAAACTGCGTGGTTCCGGCAACAGTATCTTGCAGGAAGCTTACACCACACACTAGGTATGCAAAAAAATCACTTGTCTTCTAACATGTTTTTCATTTTTGTATTGTATAAAGTGTCAGGTGTTGCTGCGAAGCGGTTGGTTTACACCCTATGCGAGGGGGTAGTAGGTCCTTTCCCAGAAGGGTTCTGTTAAGTACAAAAGTATCCAAGTCCGAAAAACGAGAAGGAAGCAATAGTCGGGGGATAGTGCAAGAGATTAAAGAGCCAAAAAGTCGATCAGAAGAATAGTGTCTTTCCAAAAAGGTAGGACGCAAGTTGAGCTCAGGAGGGAACCTCAATAGTGAGCAGAGACTGAAACAGGGATGATTGTGTGGAATGATAATTGATTAATTAGTGCGTGACTGTCTACAGTGAGAGGTGCTCGTCAGTATGTGGTGACATCTAAGTGCTCACATGCAGTTTGTGACATAAAGTAGTCTAGATATAAAGAAATTTAATTTTGTAATAATAAAATCACTATAGTTTTTTCATTTTCCATTTTATTCAGTTTTATAACATTTTCAGATTGTATGGTAAGACATTGCATTTCATTATGTAATGTGTATACAGTATATGATATTGTAACACTCCAGGGTTCTTGTGGGTATGCGCCCTCGTCACTGCCGCCTCAGGTCGGCCCCACACCATCAAGGACTCGAACCTGGGCCTCCGGCATCACTCAACAGGGACCCAGCCACTTGAGCTAAAGGGAAATCTCCCGTCAGCCCGACGGCTGCAATCCCTACTATTCACAGGGAAGGGCGGTGATGTCACCACGCTGGTAAGCCGGTTCGCACAACCTGCAATGGTGACCGTATGCGTTACACTCTCTCCCGCTTAATTCGCCGTCCTCGGCAAAGGGCTATCCCACCCCGCTCTGACACAAATGTACAATATATATAATATATGGTATATGATTATACAGTGTAATGTGTAACAGTCTATGTATACAATACAAAGTACAGTAATACTTCACACTGAAACAAATGGATTTCAGATTTACAAAATAAAGTACTCTGCAGTACTCTTTATAATACTTTATAACACTTTATAACACCTACACTGGCTATGTCTCTGACCTCTACAAACGATATATTGATGACTGCTTTGGTGCCGCCACATGCTCCAACGATCAGCTTGAGTTCTTCCTGCACCATTTCACCAACTTCCACCCGTCCCTCAAATATACGGTTAACATATCTTCCACTACTCTTCCGTTTCTAGACATCAACTTCTCTATCAACTACCCCCGACTGTCCACTTCTGTTTATTATAAACCCACGGATTCACACAGCTATCTCCTGTACAGCTCATTTCACCCCAACCACACTAAAAACTCTCTTCCTTTTTCACAGTTCCTTAGGTTACCACGATTATGCAGCAACGACATCAACTTCGAGAACCAAGCCCTCGAAATGTACTTTTTTCATCAACAGAGGATACCCCAGCAGTGTGATTGACAGGGCCCTTGCCCGAGCCAAAAACACCCCCCGGACCATCAACCCGATCAGGAACTCCCGCCGTAACAACTACATTCCTTTGGTGCTTCCTTACCACCCTAACACACTTCCTATCCCCAGGACCATTAACCAGAACGTTTCCATCCTACAGGATGATCCCTCCATTGGGGCCCTCTTTTCTGATCGCCCTATCATCTCATATTGCCGACCACCTAATCTGCGTAACCTCCTTGTTCACAGCTCCCTTAACCGCCCTCAACAACCATCCACACCAGGTACTTTCCCTTGCAACAGAGCTCCCTGTATCACCTGCTGTATCACGGTTTTCCGAACTCATACATCAGAAAGACCACCGAAACTAAAATTATTCCGCAGCTAGGATCACACATTCTCCCTTCCCTTAACGACAGACTACTGTTCTTTTAAATTTTCTCCATTCATTGGAAGTTTCATTTCACACCTCTCTGCACCCATTCTGACTTCACACCTCTTGATTGGCCTCTCTTTCTGTCCCCTGCTCCCGCCTCTCACACCTCCTCCCTCCCAACCTTTGTTCTCCCGCTACTTTACCTTTGCCTACTGCCCTGTCTCTCTCACACCTGAAGAAGGCTCCACGGCCGAAACGTTGTGTTCTCTTTCTTCTTTTTTTTTCAGCATGGAATAAACCTATTACTTGTTCCTTTGCAGCCTAGACATGCTGACACAGCTACACACCTGAACTACTACCTCTTTATAACACTTACATAACGCAGGATATGGATAATATACATTACAGTAAGAGTGCCCAAATGCCCAAATTTAAAGGTAAAAGGAGAAAATAGTGTGGAACTGAGTGAAAATGTGTCTCTTGGAACAGACACAGACTGATATGGCTGTAAATAATCCACATAGATTGTTTTCTAACATTGGAGTTTGACTAGATTCTATTTTAACCAAAGTCCATTATATCAAGGTTTATTATGACGAGGGCTTACTGTATAAGCATAGATTTCGAGACCTTCACCTGACGAAGTTAGTGACAAAGTTGGGATTTATTTGTTGAACACTCTGAAAGTCACGTAGACCCAGAACCTTTCATCATTTCCATTGATTCCCTTGAGCTCTGGTAGGGCCTGTTTGTTCATATTGGAAATTCAGTAAACTGATGGCCTGCTGTCTAACTCCCATGATACAAGCCACAGGCGCTGTTGTGGAACCAGGTTGAGAAAAGTAGACTGCACACTGCTATTTGCCTGTACATGTTTTTAGATTTGTCTTTTATTGGAAAAACAGTTATCATGATCTATAGACGATTTTTAGTGTATGTAATAAAAAGGCACACAAAAAAAGGGTATTTATTTTAGGGTCCATGGTAAACTTGTATTTCTGACAATGCCAAAACATTTGAGTGGATGGTAATGTGTCATGTTGCATATGAGAAATTCCTCCACATGCACATATTAGCTTTCAGAGAAACATGTAGTTTTGTAAATGATATGCCTGCCATTTATGTTATAAACCAATTTAGCAGCTCCACTAAGTATTTAGCAATTCTGTAAGCCCACATATATATTATTACAATATATGTTACTTTATAATGAATTTTGCATTTTTCAGATGATACAATTTTCAGTGCTATATGTTTTGTAATCATTTTGTCATTTCATAAACAAAGCTATGTAGTGATATAAAAATGTTTTCTGAGAAACATAATCACTAATAATATATCTTCTTTCCACATAAGAACTCAAACACTTCTTAAAATAGATGTTTTAACAGGTTATGAAGGAGTGATTATATAAATATATATACATTATCCTTTACTTGTGGTTTATCTGGTTGTTAAATTCACCCTTTTCTCACACGTTGGGTGTGAATGCTTGAGTTCCCTCTCAGCTGCCTACAATATTCTTTGATTTGAAAGACAATGGTTAAATCCAATGCATGTGAACCATTCATTCTTTGTGTCCTTGTCCTCTAATGTCTATGAAGGTGGTTTTGTCATAAGGATTACAATGTCATCTCAGTTAAAACTTAAGTAATCACAGTAGTTTTTTTCAACCATACATGAACCAAGGCCTACAGGGATGGAAGAATCCACTAGAGAGCCTAAATATGAACCTCATTTCAAATAAAATTCCAACACATGAAATCCAATTTTTAAAATTGCCTATTTTAATGGATACAGAAGTACTGAAGTCATGGAACAAACAAATTGAAAGAAAATGGCAAACAACGAGACATTTGATAGTTGAAACAAGGATATTTCTTTGTTATGATTTGCAGTAAAATTTGCAGAAACTTTTACATTTAAATTTTACATTTTAAATTCTATGAATGTTGCTGAAGAAGACATTTGACTATAAAGTTATGCAAACCAGATTTCCCCTAGAAACAGCTCAGAAAAAATACATGGTGAAATGTGAATTAGAAACTTTTATAATTATGTTGTATATATTCTATCCATCCATTCAAACAACTTTATCAAATACAGGGTTGCAGGGAAGCCAGAGCCTATCCTATATATAATTATTATTGTTAATGTACTTAGCAGTCTCTGTTACATAAGATGACTTACAAAAAATAATTACAATTTGTACCATAAGTTCTCAACATTTTAAAGTCAATTGTATTTAAGATACATAGTGCAACGCTTAGAACAATAACCCTAATAGAAATAACCAAATGTTCTGTATAAAATGCCTCAGTTTTTACATTGGAATACTTCTATAGAGGCACATAGATCACTTATAGTTTTCTTGTTTCATAAGGGAAAATAAATTGGGTGTTTTAACATAAACTAACAATGTAGTATAAAGTAAAATAGAAGATGAATACCAAGGTGATATAAAAACACAAAAGGTAAACCCAGAATTATTTTGCAGTAATCTGCGGTAAAAATAGGAGAGCTATTGCAGAAATCAAGCAACGCATTGCTTATATAAATATATACAGTACGCTGATATGTGCACATACAGTATATACCATGTATAATGTTTACATTTTGTAAGGTTACACTTTGTAGCTTATAACACAGCTTTTGCTATTAATAAAAGTCAGTTAAAGTATTTATGTTTTAGCAAGATTCCGAGGAAAAACACACAGGTATACAATTTACACTAGTAATAGGCAGAGTAGTGGGTCCATTTCTACAGCACGTATTACAAAGATTTAACAACTCTTTAACAAGATTTATAGTGAGTCAAACACATATTGGAAACAGGTACAAATTCAAACAAAAGAGACGGGGCAGTAAAATCAGTGTATAGTAATCTAAAGAGAAAATTGTGCTGCACCAATAGTTACTGTTCATAAATTCCAACCAATAGTTTTGTAATTTGTCATAAGAAAATTGACATTCTGTTTAATCAGTTTATTTATGTGTCATTTTAAAATATTGACATTCAGAAAAAGAATTGCTGGAGATGCATATTAAATCTGGATTTATTACTACAAAGCTTATGTACAATCTGTGCGAGAGCAGTAAGGTTCTTCAAACTAAGGAGAAAATCTTTAGGTGTAGAACTGCAGCTGTTTTGAAAATGAATTGAAACTGCATTGTTTGCAAATGCATTGTTTGTATTAGTCATAGTTAAAAATGACAAACTACTAAAAATGTTCTTTCTAGATCTTGGTCTTTTAAAAACATCCATCAAAGTATGGAAAGGTTCTCTTTCATAACCAAATGTATATAAAAGGGAATTCATCAGTAGTAACTGGAAACACAAGGAGGGCTTCAGTGTTTATCTGTACATCCAGTCTTGCTGTTGTCGGTGCTGAATAGCTCATTTGTTGGAAGCTCTTCAGAGACAGTGTATGCGACTGAACCCGAGAGCCCTGGATATTACTGTGAGAGTCGTGATCAAACTTGACAATTAACATTTGGGGCAGAAACGAAACACTGAATGTTATGGAGAAACAGTGTTGATTCTGAAACTCTTTTGAATTTAAAATTAATTCCCTTTTTTTCCTTTAAGCATTCCTGGAATAAAACATTTCACGTGTTTCAAAGCTTTAAAAATGACACACCTTTATGAAATGAGACTGAACTGGATGTTTTTGCTTTAGATAATAACATAAACAGGCAGCTTATATAATTTGCATTTATTTATTTCCTGCTTGTTACATATTCTCATATATACTGTAGGTGCTATGTGTTCTGTGTGCTTTTTTTATTTTTTCACCTTATGCTATTAGATATTTGCTATTGTGACTAAGCAACATAAAATCCAATGCAAAGAGTTTGAAAATCTGGAGAACATGGAAAGATCTACTATCATCTCTCATCATATTGATTTCCTTCCTCCATATTCTTCCAGGCTGATAACTTTAACAAGTCCTTTGAGAAGCTATTTTCATGAGAAAAGTTTAAGTACTGAATTGCATATTGAGAGAAGGAGGCTCACTCTGAACATTGAAACTGAAAAGCAACCACATTCCTTATTGTTCTATGGTGAATATTAAATGTAAATCCTACAACTAAAACAATTGCTTTAGGTAGACCACATTGTTACAGCCCAAGAATGTAAACAAGACACCATGTTAACATCCTTATTTATAAAAGCATGTCTTATGATTTTAATGACCAAGCACTCAGGGCCTTGGTGTTAGATCATAATGCCCCCTGTCAGTGGCACCCTTACAGGAGCAACTTTTTTCTTAAGGGGCTTCCATCACAGTACTGACCAAGCCCAGTTTTGCTTAGCTTCTGAGATCAGACAAGATCAGACTAAAACATGGTAAGACTGTTGTAATGAAGCAGCTTTATAGTGGTTACTTGAATGTGTTAGAATTATGTTTAAAAGCATTATGTTGATAAAGATAAATAATTTAATTATTTTATGCATTCATTTTGATAGATAATATTTGAATAATTCAGAAGAAAATAATCCAGTGGCACTACACAAAAGTAAAATGTAACTTTGTTTCATATATTACTTACATCACTCTTCACCTGGAAACGAAATGTCTTTATGTCAACAACGAGAATCAACTTACCTTAGTTAGTTAGCCAGTACATTTAGTTTATAATTTTATTTCATGCCTACTTTCATAGTTTTACTTTTAAAAAAAAACTTCTCTCTGCAATATGTTTGCTGGAAATACCTATTTCTGGAAATGATCAAGTGATTCTAAGTCTTTTTCAAAATATGTTTAATAATGAAGAATAAACTAATTGACACTGTGATCTAATCATTTTGAACTGAATTCTAATTTACACTTTATTTGTTTAGATATAAACCGATTAATAATCTAAACAAAATGTTCAGCATTTTGAATTTTTTTACCAAGACAAGTACATACAGTAGGCAACCAAATTGGCAGTTATTTCATTTATGGCTTCTTTTTTCATATTCTAGTGTGCTCACTTTCACAGAACTGAGTAGGCACTGTTGATTCCAGTGAAAATATGTCTAAAAAGTGTTTACATTTTGAAGAAGTCAGATGAAGGAACATCTGTGATATTTCTTCTTGTCAGATTACAGGAATACAAGGAATGGTACAACATGAAGAAATGGACTCTGCATTATCATCATGTACAGTTTCATGTACCTGCATATACCTGTATATACCCGTACATGTCCAGAAATGTCCAGAAATTATGAATTTGAAATGCCTGGGCAAGGTGAGATACAGAATAGTACAAGAAAGATATAAAAAAGACATCAAAAGCTGACAGACATTTTTGTGTAATAATTTCTGGTTTCATTATGAGAAGAAAAATTATACTTGCATGGTGCGCTAATACTAAATCCAAAATGCCACTTGAATTTGTCCATATTCAAGAAGAGCAATACTTGTGTTTTTACAGTATATTTTTCATCACAAGTCCAGGGGTGCGTTCATTAAATACTAGCATGCTGGGAACTGCGTAGGTCGGTTAATGCTTTTCCTGTTATGCTAATTCTTTCTTAATACCATTTTTTTTTCTGGAAGGCCTATTTATCATGCAGAGGAAGCCTAGTAAAGTTTTTAATGGCACCGGTAAACTTTTAAGCCACTCAAACTGGTATAAACCTTTAATTTAGTCCTTTTAACAATCAGTTTATGTGGTGCTGGTAATCGCTACCAAAATGGATACAATATGAATGAAATTTCAAGGGTATAAGAAATCCAAGCTTCTGTTTTTTTTATTTAAAGTTTATGCAATATATACAAATTAGATGTACATTTGTTTGGCAACATGTTACAAATGTTTAAAAGATTGCAGATGCTTTTGTTCCCATTTGTAGCTGAACTCCAAGAATTTCAAGCCAAAGTTTTGAAATATGTTTAATTTCCTGCTTCCTACTGTACCTGCACAGCTCAATTCTAGCTCCTACAAAACAAGATTAGGCAATAAAACACAACAGCAAATCCTGAAGCCCTTCACATAATGAACTGTTACTATGAGAAATAAAAACACAAAATGTACTACTCCTTTTTTTCATTTTAACAACTGCATTTGCATATCTTTATAGTCTACCAAAGAAAACAGCCTGCAGCATCAATATTCAAGCAGTAAAGCACTTTCCTTCTTAGAAAAAAAAAAACAGAAGATGGGCAAAACTGTCTAGATTGTGTCCATTCTCCTTCAGATGCAATACCTGATTTTGGAGCTTGCTTCAAGGGTGATGCTGAGTAGCATATGAGTTATTCCTGTTGGAGCAAGAATCAAAATTTAAACAATTAGCAACATATCATTACCAGAACTACACAAAACTGTATATGCATCTTGGCATTACTACTAATCATGCAAATTGGTAAAAATACAAAAAATGATATTGCTTCCTGTTAATTTTAATTTCATAAACATACGTCCCCTCAATCATTATGGTATCAGCATTGTGTTGACAGAAAAAAATGAATATTGTAGCTATTTAGATTTAATAGTTTCAAAACAATAGATTCAAAAAGAACATAGCATGTTATTGATGGGTTTTAGTTTTATCATTCATAGGACTAATATTGATATTTAACTGCCAATTTAATTTGTTAATATGTGCAAAAAATTGTTTCTTAGTACATTACTATTACTATCGTATGCTGAAACGATCATATTATGTGTAAATATTATACTGTACGTATCCAAGGAAGAAGAAAAATGAAACATTAACAATTTAATTCATTCCTTTTCTTTTTTCCACTTAATCAAATTTAAAACATATACGTTACTTTCACAATTACACAGCCTCTTAAAGAAGATAGTACATGTCAAGTTTTTAGTTTATCTTAATATATTATAAGGAGAAATAACAAAAATCATGCAAGCAGCATATGTCCACTGTACAAAATTAATCTTCATTCTGTATCTCTAGAGGATACATTAAAATAGATTATGTAAAATAACATCAGGAGTAATACACTTTGCAATTCTGTACAGAGTAAGATGTATCTTAATTCAAACTAGATGTATTTTAATCTAGAATGAGTTGTTCTCCAATAGTCATTAAGCATATATCACTCACAAGGTGAAACTTGAAAACATGATTTCAAGTTTATCCGAGAATGCAAAAGTTCATCCGGTATATGATTGCTGACCTTATGACTTCATGGCATATTAAAGTTAGAAAACTATGAAGGAGGAAAAAGGGAAAATAGTTTTTAGGTTCAGTAATAACTTTAAAAAGCTCTTTTTTGTATTTTAGTTGTGCTTTTTCTCAATGTTTCAATATTGGTAAAAGTACTGATGTTGTAGATGGCATTTTGATAAGAAGGCAAAAATGTGTATGTGTAGTGGCATTGTTGTTTTATTTACAGTCACCAAAATGTTTGAAGTTTTAAATAAATACTCCCCTCTTTACAGGTAATAGATGGCATGTTTTACAAAATGTTAAGATGCAACTTTCTTCAGCCTGCTTTCCTCACTTGTTACACATCATAAACCTCTCATTGCATTTCCCACATTTTCACGAACAGTCATCCAGACAGTTCATTGTTAAGTGGGTATTTAAGAGTATCTTGGTAAACTATTTTTAACACCACCAGATCTCAGGAATTCCATATTCACTGCTAAATGGTTTCTTTTAATCTGAAATATTAGTTTCATTTTTAATGTTTTGAAATGATTATTAATTGCCAATTTCAGTTTTTTAACTCACAATTATTTAAAAAGCAGCTTGAGTCAGAAACAAATTAATGACCTTTTAATGTGTATGTGAATGCTTGTATTTATTGAATACCTTGTTTTTCATAATGCAGATAATATAGAGTCTATAACATTTGACTCATGTATTATGGAGCTGCTCAAGTCACATTCATTTGAAGTGCATGGGGAGAGTACTTCCTATGTTATAAGTGGAAGACTTTCCACATTTCATATACATATACAGTAGCATGCATTCTTATTTAAGTATGTTTATCATGTACATATCTAAAATGATTAATACTTTGTTGTACATACAATAATTTTGAGAATCCTTAAAGGGTTTGTCTGCTAAATACATTTAGAACTAACAAATTCATAATTAAACCAAAATTATTAGGAGTATGATAGTTAGTAGACTAACTGGGTTAACATCTGATCAATCTAAACAAATGAATACAAATATATTTGTTATATCTAATTTGATTAAAATGGACATACTTGTATAATGTACAAAACATCAGACTGTGACATGAGACGCGGAGATGATCTTATTATTGAATGCCTAATTTAAAAACATGATTGCCTTACCTAGTCAACAAAACTGTCTATGTATTGTTGTCCTTCTCCTTTATTTGTAAAAGCACTCAACTCCACGTGGCTATTTCCAGATATTGCACTTCTAGCAATTTCAAAGATGAAATAAGTATTCCATTACATGTTTTACTGTTTCATCTTGTACATGCAAATGTCAATTCTGGATCTTTCCCTTTTTCAAGCTCCATTTTACAAAAAGGCCGACTGCCAGTCATCGGTGAGTAATCATAACACAGTGGGCATTTGGTGCATTTCAATGTTCCATGCCGGCACCAAAAAGCCAATGTAATATTATTTACAAAGGGCAAATGAGCTGAAAGGTTGTTAGAAAGAAATATAAAGTCTAACAATGTTGAGCCAAGGTAAAATGAACGTGCACAAACACTGTAGTTTCCTTAAGAATAAGACATGTATAGGGCGAGCTCGTTTATGCGCAAATAGGTCTGTCTCCAGGAAACAGGCAGAAAAACATAAGTGTTCTACATTTAATGAACATATAAATCAAGATTTCCCAGATGCAGACGTGACCACACTCATGATAAAAAATGCTGCTAACAACATAAGCCAAACAGAGTAATGGAAAGCAGTTAAGGGTGGCTGCTAAACATATATAATTCTGTATATATTTTTATAAGTAAAATGAAAAACAATGACCACCCTACTTTTGCATAAAATTCGAATATCTTCTGATATAGATAAGTCTGACTGCTATAATATCCTTAGTGTTTTCTTATACATTAATTGTAAGAAATAGATTTCAAATTGTATTGCTTAGGTCATATTCTCTTGGATTTTGTTTATAAGATACTCTTTGAAACTTTTTGACCATGAGACACTTACAAGATTTAATTTTAGTTCTAAACAAAGGCAATAAATTCTCAATATATTTTATCAACATCCATGAGGTACTGAATCTGCTTCTTTAGAAAACTTACTGTAACACATCATTGAACGTCACTTTTTAATCTGTGTAATGTGGTTAGTTATAAAAATGTTCCGTTATAAGGCAGGTTCGTGCAGTGCTTTCATATATCTACACACTTCTCAAATTTCCTAAGTGTGATTCCTACAGTATTTCCAAAAAATATAAAGCCATTACTTTTCTTCCATTGTAAGGAATACAGCGTAAAGGAATTTGTACTTCAGTGTAACGTACTAAACTGTTTATTTTCTACCCATTTAAACTAATGATTATTAAACAGCACAGCTTGTATTACAAAATCAAACATAAGAAAAATTACAGCTCCATTATTTTACTTGCATTACCTGTAATAGGCAATGTATTGTCTTAAGTATTTATTGCACAGGCACAGTCTTCTTTATAGCAGAACATCCACAGATTTATAGCATTGGCAGGATGTGCATTACATTATTCTTTTTAAAGCATGTGCTGTTATTTTCTCTATGTTGTAATTTTTCCTCGCATTCTCCACAATGCCACGTCATTGTTTTGTTTAACCCAAACAATCTTAAAAAATAATTCCACCTAAATGGATTTTTATCTCATTGAGAGATTACGTTTCCCCAGTCCTTCATTCTCTAGTCTTAGACAGGTTCATAGTGGCAAGCTCTTGGTTGTGTCAGCCACATATTGGTTGGTTTCTTTTGTGTCTCTGGTCAAGGAGAACTTAAACCACAAGTACAATGGGTTTAGGGCACGGCGTAAGACAATAATGTTGCAGAAGTGGTAGTAAATGTTGATATTTTTATTAGAATAAGAGGAGGTTACTTGAAGTGTTCAGTTTCCCCCACGATCCAATTTTATTAGGATTTAGTCTGATTTGTGTTAGGAATCCCTGGGGAAATAAATACTTTGATTAATGTAATCCTGGGCTGGGATGTGCCACATGCCCCTCTCCCAAGAGAACAGCCCTGTTTGACAAACAAAAACAAAGCAGCCACTATTGCAATCTGCACCCAGGTTTTTAACACAATGGATACATTTTATCAAATGGGGGTACCGGCTATTTTTTTCTTTTTAAGCTTTGTAATGAAGGAGGGTTTTTTTATTCCTTATGTTCACATTTGTGTGTGTCTGCAGGACAAAAGCTGAGGCTATTGTAAAAACAAATACATTTCTCTATTTGCTAGCTAGACTTTTATAACATTATATGTGATATGTATGTGCATGTATATGAACACCCCATGCCATCTGATGAGAGAGAGCCTCCAGATCAATTCTTATTCAGTACCACTCTTCTAAATAATCCACTTTAACAAAACACTGAAGCCCTTAAACCTGCAGAAAGTCTCTTTTGCATCAGTCCTCTTCTCAAAAAGCCTTGGAAATCAAAGTGATGAAAAAATAGTTTCGAAAAGTGCATTTTATTGCATCTGTGCTACCTGCTCAACAACACCACTCTTCGCCGTATTTAATAACAGACACATTTGCACAATGTAACTAAAAACACATGAAAACGTCCAGGAAAACAAAACCCCCCTAATTCATTTTTTCTACACATATGAGCCAGCCATTGTTTTTAAAGAGAAAATGTCACAAGTGTAATGAATTATTACAGTTCTTATAATGTCGTGGAGTTCTGAAATCTGGAGATTCTGTGCTGTTGCTTCACAGATTCCTATTCCTTCACAGATTTGTTTAGAAATCTCACATCATAATAAAACAACTGAAGCATTCACAGAGATACATAAAGCTTGTTTCACATATTTGGTCTGTAATTTTAATAAAAGTTACATATCTTTGTCTATGTCTATATCTATATCTATATTTGAATCCAGAATCAACAAGGGGAAGTAGCTTAGGATAAAAAAATCTGATTTATAACATACATTTCTTTTTTTCAGTGTTATGATATGTAAATAAGATACATACAATAAAATGTGCCAAGCTACTGTGTATGAATACTTCAAAGTCTATCTACTTGTATGATTTGTAAAAATCATATCTTGATTTCAAATAAAAAGAAAAGTAATTAGCAAGGGATAGTTGACATTTATTATAAACATTGCAGAATTTAAAATCAGACAATGCATAAAATACACAGGCTTCCAATAGTATATTGTTTCAGATAAACCTTAATACTAAGAATAGTGTTAATTATTAATAGAAGGAATACTAGGTAATGGAGCTTAAGAAACATTGCTTACCAAACATCTTGGAAACATTATTTCCAAAAATGAAATAAGTTTATTTATCAAAAACTAGGCTACATAGTTCTCAAAACTGCTTGTGTATAATCTTTACACTTGTCGAACTAGGCTATCTCATAAGCCTTACACAGTAAAAACGGAGAATCTTAATTATATATACGACATTACTAAGACTTTGCTTTAATTAAATGGATACATTACGCATAAACGGTACGAAGTTACAAACTGTTCTAAATTAATTTTATTAGGGTTAGCCTTGGATGTAAGAAGAACACGTTATTAACGTGTTTAACGATTTGCATATACTTGGACCAAGTGAACAGGATAAATTATGCATTCTGTAACTGTAATTAAAACTTGTGTGGTAATGATTAATGTTTTTTAAATAACATCAGACTTAGTGTATTAGGAATTTACGATTAATTCATTTAATTTTACTTATTTGACCTGGATCTTCAAAGGAAATAATATTTTAAAAGATATATGTCAGTAGCTGTTGAATGACTAGGTATTTGGCATTTATTTGTTTTTTGACGCTTCTGATCACATTTCTGGAGTTTTGGAGGAATTAGTAATATAATCAAACATCTCAGGACAAAGCCCTTTCAAACTTTTTGTTGACTCCACGTAGCTATTAACATCGTTTGTAATGACGTGATGACATAGCGAGTTGCTTTCAGCGACTCAGTACTTGATTTTGCTTGTTTTCATTTTTCCAATCAAAGAGTGATATATACATTCTCCTTCCGTTTAATAAAATAAAACATGGAGCTCATTCATTTACGATATCCTGTTAATGTTAGTGTGAAAGATCGTGTATGTCTGCATTTCAAAAATAAGTCGTTGAACTTTTAAATTTTATGTCCCACTAAAGTGCGTCTTACTTTAACAATGCTCACTGTACTTCAACCGTCTAAAGAAATAAGTAAAGGTGCGTGTGCCTGAGATATTTCATTACATCATTACGAAGCGCACGGCGTTGAGACACTGGGTGGGACACTGATGATGACATTCAATTAAAAGCCTTTGGTAATAAAAGGCAAAGAAGTTTTCGATCCTGAAGAACAGTTCTGCTCTTGTAGCGCAGCGCTTGCAATCGGTTACTTTAAAGCATTGGGAGATACAGATTCGATTAAATCTATTTTTCTGCGTCTTTTCGGAAAAGGGAAATGTGGAGGAACTGCAGTGTCATAAAAGGTATTATAAAAAATGTTCGTCTGAGCAATACATTGATAGATGCATCATCATATCATCATCTTCATTTTCTCAAAGATCAATATTATTAATATTATGAGAAAGGGGTACATGTAGTGGCAAGTTAAAACGGTATTATTTTAAATACAAAATGGAAACATTTGATTCACCAGTTCTGTACAACTATAGAGAAGGTAAACGTGTTTGTGTAAAAACAGTCTAATGTTTTTACCTATATACAGTCAACCTATATACAATTTAGAAATCTTCCACACAGTTTCTAACTATAAATAAAATAATAAGAATGGAGTATTTATTCATATTAACCTCTCTCTTTCACATAGCAGTTAGATACAATGCCTATGTACCTAACATCTTGGTGGTCATATACAAACTTCGAAAGTGTACCCAAAGAGAACATTGCATGCAAATCATATGATTTAAATAAGTTAAATACAAAAACAAATGTCAGATTGGTTTCTATTTTAATGAGGCTCCACGGGGGAAAAAATCATAAAACATTATTTCTGCAGAAAATTAAGATGGGTTATGACAGTGGGTCACTTTTAATACTTCGTTTACACTTTGCATAGGCTACAAAATTTCTTGCTAATCTTTTAGCAGTCTTTGAGGAGAGACAAATCCTATTGTTTTCTTTAAAAAAAACTAATTGGTGCGCTGACGTTGAATACCTTCATACAAAATCAGAAAAACTGGGAAATGAATTAAGCCACGTTTTAAAGAGTATTATTCTTCCCTGTTCTAAAAAAGAAACCTGAACTCTCTAAACTAAAACCATATGCTTTCACTAAAACAATCCACCCTATCAAGATTTCACTGATGCCATATTAAACCATGTTTCACTGCAAAGGTAAAACAGCAATTAATAATACAGTAACTGCCTTTGGAACCATCTAACCGCATACGTTGGAAGTTAAGATCCACTATGTATTAACACAAATTCGGCAACTTACATTGGGGAATAGGATAATTTTTCATCCATTTCAAAATACGTGTTTGAAAGGAGAAGGGTGACTGTTAATATTTTATTTAATTATTTTCTTCTCTGTCTTTTTAGACTCAAGAAAATTCTAAAATCCTTTCGGTAGCTGTGCAGAGGGTAGTACTTACCAAAGTTGCGCGCACGAATAAGCGCGACCCCTGCTGGTCTGATATGTTTTTCTTTGTTAACTCCAATTTAACTGCAAAGTTATTTGGGGTTTTGTAAAAAAAAACAACAACTCGCGTAAAATGTATAAATTAATAGACTACCATTAACGGTTTTAAAATAAATTTAAATGTCCATGGTAAAATAATAGGTTATGTCATGGAAGGCCCGAGTTGTTAGTTTGGCTTCCTTGCGAGATCATCTTGGCTAAACTAGAAGCCCTTTATTCTCAAGTCCAGTGCACAAACATATAGCTTAATGTGACTAGTGTTCCTTCTTTTATTCAGTTCACCATGGCAACCAAAATGCTGGGCTCAGAAATGTTCCCCATCAAGGAAACAAATGATCTTCAGGGAGCAGCTCTATGTGGCATCTGTTCCAATAGGGGCAGATAAAGTTAACCCGTGAGAAAACACAGTAAGCGAACAAATTCAAAATCAACTACAAAGTGCACGGTGTAGAAGTACACAAACACATAAATGAATAAATTCTAAATATTTGTAAATATGACATTATATGTTAGTGATAAATAAAAGCTACACTTTCTGGAGATTTTCATTCATTACATAGGTTGTATTTATGATATTAAATCACAAAAACGTAATTTCTTGAAATACTGCTAGCTTTAAGCAACGCGCAATTTAATTCTATTTTTTTCTACTGGTAAGTGCTCAGTTACACTTCCAACACTACTGCTGTTAGTAGTAGGCGTCGTTACTTTTAAGTGTTGTTACCTTTGCTGTAGGAGTATGCACACGGATGTTATTTTGTGAACATTACCGTTGGTGCTACTTCTCATTTCTCAATTCTCAATTCTCGTACAAACATATTAAAGTGGAGCTGTTTTATGGCGAGGAATCAGGATACGTAAACTACTAGAAATCCACTTCTACGCGACTCTTCGAGAAAATAAAACCAAAGGGTATCCTGGTTAGTTTTGATTGATTGTGCTTTCTGCGGTGGACATTCACTACAGAACCGCTCTGCTTAACCGTCTGTTCACTGCTCATAAACCAGAGGTTATAAATGAAATCCTATACAAAGATTTGATTGTTTTTAGGTTTACAAAAGCAAAAAAATATTTTGCGTCTAAATTACATCACCGTTTTAAGATTATTTTCCCAAAAATGCTTCAAATGGCACAGAGATTCAAATCTATATACCCAAATAAAGATACATCGCTTTAATTGTTCTTTATGGTATATATGTATACAGTACGCGCACAAAATTATGCATGTAGTCTGCTTTTATGCAATAAACATTGGTGCTTAAAGTGTTTTTTCCTTTTTCTCAATCGACAATTTAACTCTAAGAAGAACACGTTTAAAGGCAGAGTAATGCATTCACTTACCATCTGAAAATCCCAAAATACACAGAAAATCAATGTTTGATTTCTATTTTGTTGAATTTAATGATCGAATTTCTCTTTCTCCTCTCCCACGAAAGGATCCTTCCTAATGATTTTCCTTTGCACTGACTCAACTGAGCAGTGCTCTCCTCCGCTCGTCTATTATTTTCACTAAAATATATGAAAATTTATGCAAATGAAAATCAGCACTAACTGTTCGTCTCTTGTTATACTTCGGGATTTTTTTTCTCTTTTTTGCATACAAAACAAATGAACTCCACAGCGGGGATGCGGGGACAAAAACACCAAAACAAAACCAAAAAAGAAAGGCAAAACTTGAAAACATGAACATTTTTCTTTTTTTTTTGTTTTCTTGTTTTTCCTTTTAACTGTTTTGGAAGAAAAGTGACTTCTCTTTATACAGCGGCGCTCTCACGTTTCAGCGGGCCACATGAGACGCCCTTTGAAAGCGTGCACTGTGAAATGCATAGCAGTAATTTAGACAAAATCCTCACTGTATATTAATGAAAGACGGCCCCATGGCACCGTTCCTATCCTCCCCATTCAATGTAAACAAAACCACGAGACTCGCTTGGTTTTTGAGCCTGATCCAAGCAAAATCTGCTGGGAAGGAAAACATGGGGTTCTGGCACTCACTATTCAAACGTCTGCACCTGGATATCTGCGTTTTTTCATCAATGAAATCTGTGTTTGATCCTCAAATTTAATATATATATAGGAGATATATATTTTAAAGTGATATATTAGGATAATATAGATTTTGAATAATATAAGGTCTGGTCACCGGCCTGGCCATGACCTGTAGATGTACTGTAGCATTTATACCCTGCACTGAAAGTGAGAATACCACTCTAGCGTGCAAGCAAAAACTGGATTGATTCCTAAATAAATTCACTAAGCCTCGTGTTAGTTTGTCCATCACGCAAATACTGCCTACTTTAGATGGGGGGATATGCCCAAGTTCATGTACTCATTTACACTTTTAAAAACACCTATAAATTACGAAGGTTATGTGGCATGGCGCTCCTATCTCTACAATCAGAATGTTCTATTTCTGTATCTAGGTTTGACATTCGTGGGTGCCTTCGTATAAGCAAACGCTGGGGTTGTTTCCTTGCAAATCCCCGAAGGACTGCTCAATTTGCCCTTGTTTTGGTTGCCACTTTCTCTTTTTTCGTGGTTCACTGAGGTTGCCTGTGTGCTGCATTTCCGCTTGGAAGCATCTCTCAAACCCCTTTATTCTGTGTTAACTCCTAAAAGGCCACAACCTTTTTTTTAACTCATTAGCATTTGATATGGAGGAAATTCCTCCAGTATCCTTTATAAATGCAATATTTTTCGTAATTAATCAAAATTGACATTAAATCTTTAGCAATAAATATAGCCTTTATATACATAAACACCAGTGTTTTTACTGACTTCGCATTTCAGCTCTGCATAAGACTGAGTTCATTACATATGGGGGAACCCTTGACAATGTTTCGTTACATGAAGTAGAAACATGTTTAGCAAACAAAATGAACGTTAATTTATTTTCTTAAATATACTACATTTGTGCGCTTACAATTCTTAGCTATGCGGAGATGTGTTCTTCTTGTTATATATGCAAATGCAAGCTGTCCTTCTATCAACAAAAAGACGCCGGCGATGTGTTGATATTTATTGCCAACGTTCACAACGAATTACTTTTGGCAAAGGTTACTTACTTTCCCTTGCAGTTCATTAAGAGTTAAAGGATCAGGGACAGATTTCCCAAGCTCCACCGACTTTTTTTATTTTTTGCCTAAATTAAAAAGCAGCCAATCGTAACGGCCGGAAGGGGGGGCTGCGCGCCTGGAGCCAGGCTTTCGAGACCTGCCAATCGCGCTGCGGGTAGCCAATCAAGGGGAGTCTTGCACTCGACTTCCTCGTATTTGGGGGAAAGATGTGGACGGTGTGCGCACGCTTGGCAAAGGGTAAACATTCGTGTGTCCCTGAGCTCTGAGGGAGGGACAGAGAGAGCTGTCAGAGAGAGGGGGAGAGCAGGCGAGTGAGAGAAAGCCAGCTATCAACCACCGTCGTTCACTGTAATACAGGATTGTACTTCAACTGGAGTTAGCGGTTTGCAGGTTTAAATACATCAAAACAGAACAAAGAGAAAGCGGCTGCTGCAATATAAAAGAAAAGGAAAAACAACAAGGAAAGAAAATCTCAGCCGCTAATTTACAAAAGAAGCCAGAAGCTTTTGCCGACAGCTTTTCCATTCAACGAGAAGGAACTAAAAAAGAAAGGATTGCAATTTTTAAGGAAAAGTGCGAAAGATCCATCACTGTTAGAAGTTTGCGACGGGCAAAACTTTTTTTTTTGTACTTTCCACTTTAACGAAATAAAACTTTCTCTAAGGACTATACAGGGTTGAAAGGGGCTTTTTTAACTGCTGACTTCTAAACTCAACGTGGATTTTTAAACATCAACAAAGAAAATATAGAGAAATATTACATGCAAAATTTGAGCAACATATGTATATGCCTGTGTCCAAAAACAACAAATATTGTTAAATATACAACCCAACGGTATGAGCCAAAAATCTACCCGGACCTTTAAAGTTTAATTCATGTAATAGAATACCGTCTGCTTGGGAAAAAAAAGTTACATAAAGAAGAGGGAGGGGGGACAATCAACGGACTATTCATAAGGGTTAAAGGAATGGCCACTGCCGCTTCCAATCCTTACCTGCCCAGCAACAGCATTCTCTCATCTGGCTCGATCGTGCACTCTGACTCGGGAGGCGGTGGCATGCAACCTGGCAGTGCTGCCGTTACCTCGGTTTCTGCCGGGTACAGAGGAGACCCCACGGCGAAGATGGTACAGAGCGACTTCATGCAGGGAGCCATGGCGGCAAGCAACGGGGGCCATATGTTGAGCCATGCCCATCAGTGGGTAACAACTCTGCCTCATGCCGCCGCCGCCGCGGCTGCAGCCGCGGTGGCAGCGGCGGAAGCCGGATCGCCTTGGTCGTCGAGCCCCGTTGGGATGACGGGAAGTCCCCAGCAGCAGCAGGACGTCAAAAACAATTCGGGCAGGGACGATCTACACACGGGGACGACGCTGCACCACAGGCCCCCTCATCTGGGTCCCCACCAGAGTCACCCAGGGGCTTGGGGGGGTACTACAGCCTCTCACATACCTTCAATAGCCGGGGGACAGCAGCAGCAGTCTCTAATATACTCCCAGCCCGGGGGGTTCACGGTGAACGGGATGCTGAGCCCGCCGCCTGGGAGTCAGAGCTTGGTGCACCCGGGTTTAGTGCGAGGGGACACGCCGGAGCTCGACCACGGGAACCACCACCACCACCATCACCATCAGCATCAGCACCACCAGCAGCACCACGGCGGAGTGAACAGCCACGACCCTCACTCCGATGAGGACACACCGACCTCCGACGACCTGGAGCAGTTCGCCAAGCAATTCAAGCAACGACGGATCAAGCTGGGGTTCACTCAGGCCGACGTCGGGTTAGCTCTTGGCACCTTGTACGGTAACGTCTTCTCCCAGACCACAATTTGCAGGTTCGAGGCACTCCAACTGAGTTTCAAAAATATGTGCAAGCTCAAGCCATTGCTAAACAAATGGTTGGAGGAAGCCGACTCGTCCACCGGGAGTCCCACCAGCATCGACAAGATAGCAGCGCAAGGCAGGAAGCGCAAGAAGCGCACCTCTATCGAAGTGAGTGTTAAGGGGGCATTGGAGAGCCACTTCTTGAAATGCCCAAAACCCTCGGCCCAGGAGATAACCACTCTAGCGGACAGCTTGCAGTTGGAAAAAGAAGTGGTTAGAGTCTGGTTTTGCAATCGGAGGCAGAAAGAAAAAAGGATGACCCCCCCAGGAGTGCAGCAGACGCCGGACGATGTGTACTCTCAGGTCGGAAATGTGAGTGCAGATACACCGCCCCCCCACCATGGACTGCAAACGAATGTTCAGTGAGACATAGAGAACATGCAAACATAATATGTTTTATATATATTATCAGATAGGACACAGACTATCAACAAGATAGCAAAAATACAAAAAATTTTATACTGTGATTGTGAGAGGGAATATAAATAAGACTGCAGATGTGTTTTATATTTTTTAAAAAGAAAAGACAAACCCCCTCCCCAACCCCACCCCAGACGCAACGATAAACTGCATCCAGGGCCTCAAATGTATTAACCTAAAAGGTTCTGTCTGCTCTTTCTTTCAGGGACATTTTTTAGTAGATTACTTAAAAGATGCGAGTCAACCGAGTGACCAGAGGGTGACAACTACAAGTTCGTTCCACCAGGTAATTTTGGCGCACTAACAACATCAGTACGAAAAACGAAGTGTAAGAAATGATATATTTCTATCTATTTTTTGTATTTGGTTTGTTTGAGACCACATGAGCAGGCATTAAAGCACTAAACAAAAAGGAACTGTAAATGATAAGGAGCCAAGAGCAAAAAAAAACAAAACAAAACAAAATAAAATAAAAATAAAACCTGACAACAAATCGAAGAAGATTTCGGACCCACAAAGCTTCAAATGTGTTATAAAGAAGAGGACTGCATGGTTTAATAATTTAAAAAGGAGAAAACAACAACAACAACAACAACAACAACAAAGAAGGATTGGGGTTCTTAGCCCAAGAACATTTTCTTAAAGACACTGGCCCCGATTTCTTGATCTAAAAGATCACGTCTTTTGAAGATTGTATTTTATTTTGTGGACCGTTCCCGATAAATGGATTTTTTAAAAAAGAGAAAAAAGAGACTGATTATCTGCAGCTGCACTTATCTGAAATTCTCCTCTCCTAAAATCCGTTGCCAAGTGTGACTGAATGGGTGCTGTGGATGTATGATGCTGCCATTTCCAAGCAGTGTTTTTTGGTAGGTTTTAATAAACAGACTTTGCAAAAGCCGGCAATATAGATTCACTAGATCAGATACTGATCTTAAAATTTACTTTATATTTTTCATCAAAATGACTTGTTTTAATATTTTATTCAGAATAACTATGGACTGTTGCAAACGGTAATTTATTTTTCCCAGATCTTGTATAACGTGTCTTCTCTTCTTTTTCGTTGTCTTTTTGTTTTATTTTTTTATTATTTTCAAACGAGCACAAATCAAAAGAAACTGATGATATGGACAGTTGTTAGGTAATAAGGGTATATTTTGATGTGATAATTTGATTGTAATTTAATTTGAGTAGTGATTCCGTAAGAGATGACTGAGAAAATAAATTTGTTAGAATGAAATAACGTGGTTGTGTGTGGTGCATATGATAGTGCAGATTTATATTTTAAGAAGAGAATTACACTCAAATTTATATTTTACTGCAATTTTATATTAAACATAAGTATATGACGAAAGCTTGTGTTCTCCATGCTATAACAGTTTCTCCGATGATTAGCAATATTATATTATTTTAAAAACGTATCATCGGTATGAACGTCCTTTAGGTTTTCCAAGAAACTTTGTGGAAAAATCAAACAAAACCTTTCATATAAGGGACAGGTAAAGATACACTTGACATAATTTCTCATTTTTGAATGAAATGTGATATGCGTCATGAATACCTTCTTCTGTGATACACTTAGCAGCACCATGAACAAACGTTATGGGAACTTTTATTGTATTTGTATATAGAATATTGTAATTGTATTTATTATATAAAATAGGGTTATTATGTGTGTAACTCGACATCTTGCCGAGCGTATTCCTCTCTTTGAAAACAGGATGGAAAAGGTACAGTACCGGGATTTATGCGGGAGAGCTTAGATGACTTTAGGGTCTACAAGGCAAAGCTAGACAATGCCCATTTTCCCATTATCTCTTGAATTATCTGTTGAATTGTTGTCCTTACGAAAAAGGATGTCCCGTTATTTTTCGTTTGTATTTTTTTTTTCAGAACTGCGAAGCACAAAGCGGAGGTTCTAGTATTCGACACATAATAATTCCAACCAAATTGTAAGCAGGCTATACAATACGGGTATCGTTGCATTAGATCTCACATTTCAATGAAAAGTACATATTCAACTTAACATTTATATTCTCAACATCCAGTAGGTTGCCAAAGAAAAAATGAAAGTGAGTTCTTGATCTTTGGGCGATCGTTAAAATGACACTAATAAGCATCACGGGCTTTTTAAGATATCAAACGCAAACAACATACTGTATTTTCAGAACTGCGTGTTGTGTTTACGTATATGTTTTAGAAAGGAAAATATGTTTGTTATGACTAATTAGAGATTATCGTGAAATATGTGATTTCTGCTTCCAAGCTTTTTATCCATTTTAAGCCTGTGGACTGGTACAAAAACACAAAGTATGAAACTGCCTCTTCAATTTTTGAATGGCAAAGCGCCTGGTTTTGTCTTATAGGAGCCTATGTGGTAGACTCAGCCCATTAGCTGGTTTGTTGTTGTGCAACCCCTTGACATAACGTGTACGCGTATCTTCTCCAGACCTTATTACCAGTAAAATGCGTAACAGCCTTCGGCTTTTCCAATCTCGGAGAACAGTTCGGATCCACATTATCATCAGCTAGTACTGTGAAGATGCTGCACAGATAGTTAAAATATGCAGGGATCAGAATCACCTTTCATACCGCCAGCTTTCTCATTCTTGTTCATTGTTATGTACTTTTATTGTGGTTCCTTTCGACGTTTTAACTGTTTACTAAACGAATTTTGAAAAAAACATTGGTTTTACTGTGATCTGAGCTGTGTCTTGATCCTTTCAATTTAGATGATCTCCACTGTTATTGTAAACACCGAGTGAGCGCTGGGGACCGTGTAGATAGATGCTTGCAACAATATGTGAGCTCAGTATGAAAAATGTTCAGCTATTTTTATTAGAATGTGTCTTAATTCAGTAATATGGGGCATCGGAGAACGTATTATTTATTTGAACATACATCAAAGTCGGATCCATGTGATGATTAAATTAATCGAATTTTAACGCTTAAAACGTGCAACACAGTATAGTATTGACAAATATACTTTCAAGTGTAATTTTCTAAGTGCAATTCAAGCCGAATAAAGTAAGAGAAGCTGGGTAGTTAGTGTAACGTGATGTTTATTTTATACGTATGCGTCTCTTTGTATTTTATAGTTGTTGACAACAAAGTATTGCATTGGCTTAAGTTTTTAATGAATATAAATACTTATAGCGACACATTTTTTAAACTTGATTCAACAAAGTATCATTCTTTTAGAGACTGTTAAATTCTTAGTTTAATTTATCAACCACATAATGCTTCAGTTGTGCAAATTAGATTATATTATTCTGTATTTAAACAGTGACACAATGAATGAAGTGACGTCAGAGAGGCCTGTACATAGCCCTTTGGCAACCGTTCGTTGTAAATTTAATTAATACGCAACCGAATGTATAATAATAATAGATTCTGTCCAGCACAATCAATATTTTTCTAGAATAAATTATTTGTAATTGATTAAAATTGAAGTAAGAAAATATGTTTTTTCCTTTGGCATTTGTGAGAGGCATTATGAAAAGTGGCATATGAAATATTTATTGAAACGTTCAGTTTAAATAATTTCCTTAAATTAAATGGTTGCATGGAACAACCGACTAGGCATGACATTATTTTAAATATCTGATGTAAAGCGAACTAGAGTTTATGCAGGATCTGACCGAAAGAAAGAGGACGATTTCTGTAATGCGTGAATGGGTCCTGCCTCAAAAAAGTTTTTGTATGCTTTGTTTTTAATTCAACAGACACATTATAGATATATTTCCGTTATTCTAAATCGCACGTATTCCCTGCTATGTGCTTTTGTTTTCGGGTTTTGCCAGTAACTATGGCCTATAACCTGTTACAGGACATTTTTGTTTTGTAGTCTTATTGTAGAAAATATTAGACATACAGAAAGAGACAAGTGGTTGCCTATATTCTGAAATTTGAGGTATTGGCTAAGTTTTATCCCACACCTTATACTGGTGGTGATTTCTTGGCTAAATGCAAAATCCCTTTTCTTCCCAAAGATTTAAATTTCGCGGATGATTTGACATATACTGGTTGCTTGGCAACAGATTTCAAAGCAGCACTAAAAGAATATGCGAGCTTTTGTATTCTCATTAATAAAAATGCCGGCCTAACACCCAGCCAGACTTTGGATCGTTCCGACTTGTGAAATCACAATCGAGAAATAGAGCAATGTATGTATTTAAAACTTTAAGATGTTAGAAACAATGAATTGTAGTTCCGATAAGCTTAATGTTTGAGGTGTTATACATATGTAGTTGTTATAATCGTTTGTCACTACTACTATGATTACCACTTCTGTTTTTGCAATAATACAATTACACCCCTACTGCTACCACTACTATACAACGAGAAGAACAGGCTACTAATACTACCGAACTGCTGCTGTTGTCTCAGCTGTTGGCTGGTGTACTGGTGACGTATATTAGTCGCTAAGAAGTACCTAATGTAATATGCAAAACTCCGTTTATCAAAGTAAACTACTCTGAATTGTCCTTGGGAGATCGTAGTTTAGACATGGTTAGCTAGTGAGTAATATGAACAAATTAATTAAAACCATAAATAGCAATATATTGTCAGTTGCTTTCAAAAACACGGATCTATATCTCCATACAACATAAATACGATACACATTGTTTTCAGTATGCATTTTACTGCTTTTCCAGAACAAAATACAAAAAACGGGACGCGGGAGTGGGACTATATACAACATGGAATTGATCAAATACACAGCGCCAGTGAACCATTGCAGTTTCTCAATGTATAGGGGAAAGTTTAAAGTCCTTGTTTAGTTTTCTGATTGACATGAGCGTCAGCTTCACTTCATGCTTTTTAAAGTTTATTCGGGATTGCCAATAGACGCGAAGACAACATATCTTTAGTAATGTGCTAAAATGTATTTAAGGTAAATGGGATTTACATAACTGAAATAAAAACGAATTTTTCAGAGCACAAAGCGTATAGTCACGCATAGCTGAACACAGGAACATGGAGTTTCTAGAGCATCCTTTACAAAGGAGACATTACAAATCGTGAGGTAACACTGACGCATAGCTTTCTAGAACGTTTACTTTTGTGTCATTAAATATAGGGCTTATTTAAAGATAAAATATTTAGATAATTCTTTTGAATGAGACAAAATTAATATCGTTATTGTATTCCTTCTTTGGATCTTGGCACGATGCACGTCATGTTTATATCTGTGTTTTTTAGAAAACAATTTTTGGTACCTTTAAATTTTGATCCAAAACTATTTTCTTCTAATATCCATACGGCTGTATGAGTATATACATTTTCAATATTAAGAAAAACAATTGCTGTAAATAATGA